TCTAGGAAAAAAACCACATGCTACAGAGCACAGCATGGATCCTTCTCACACAACTAGGACATATTTTGGGAAAGAAATAGCACAGGATCTCTCTCTCTCCTACTATGGAGTGAGTCACAGGAATATAATCTGTCAACACCTTAATGAGAACTGTGCCTCCAACTGTGGAGCAACAGTGGGAAACTGCATACCAGCAATGACCCCTGAAGAGAAAACCCACCCTTGCTCTCCTGCTTATAATGCTAATAGCACATAAGCAGTCAAACCACAGGGCAGACTAGCTTTTCCCCAGTATTAACTACTGTGCTGTCCACCACAAAGTCATTTGTCACCAACATACTTCCAGTATTGGTGTAACAGCTGCAAAAACATAATTAGTCCCTCCATCTCTGTCCCACTGGGTACCAGTCACTGCTTCGGTGGTCTCTTTGGATATGTTTCTGTCCTCTACTGGACAGAGGTCAAGTTTTCCAGAAGCTACTTGCCTGTATAAATTACAGTGCACATATTTTACATCTCATTGTAATGCTTTCTTTTGCCAGCATCCGCTTCTTTGCAAATGTTCCATTTCCAAGCCATTTTTGTGCAAGCCCCAGGAGAAGCCATCAGACAAGCATGCTGAAAATTCATCCACAGGCATCATTAATGCACATCTGGCTGATGAAGACATACAGTTTATATAAACTGCAATTTGGAATGCCTCCTTGTCCAAACAGCTAGTCCCACAAGATAGCATTTGCTCAGGAAAAATAGGACCAGGGGAAATATCTGAATGTCCAGTACAAGAAGTCACAGGCTGCCCACAGCTATTTTGGGGCAAGAAGAAAAACTTGGTAATGTTGAGTTTGAATAATTTTCAGTGGCAGCATTTGAAGCACCAATACAGCAGGAGGCTGCAGGAGAGGCACTGGGTAGCAAGAGACCAAAAGAAGACATGATACGCCTGCTTGTGGGCTTGGGTCTGAAGTCACAATGTTGAAATTATGTTGGTACTCTCAGACATCTCTTTGGAGACAAACAACTGAGCGACTGCAAAAGCAGAAAGGTTATAAGGATGAGACTTCTACATTGGGATACCCTGGAAGAAGTCTGAGGACTTCTTGTTATTTCTTTCTTTTTCTTCTTTAAGAGTTACAGTGAGAGTACCAACTGCTGGGCGTAACAGCCCATCATGTAAAACATGGGGAAGGATGTTTCAACAAAAGCAGTGAACACGAAACTAGTTCTTTGGTGTTTAAAGGAACATGAAATCAGCCAAGGGCAACATTTCTGAGCTGAAAATTAAGTAGGAAACTTTAGAGAAGCATAGAATTGATGATACACCTTTCAAGATCAAGAAATGGGTATGTAGGACCCACTGCAAAAGGAGAATGAAAAAGCCACATCACGCTTTAAGACCCTCAAATGTACACTGAACCACCACACTCGGCCTGACTTCCCTATCACCTGCTAACGCTTGTTTTCCTGTTACGGGAAATGGATGCGACTCTGAGTTATGGGGGCAACGCAGGTCCCCACAGTATCTGTACTGTAAGAGGACATCTGTTCCAGTGCCGGTTGGATCAGTCCACGGCAGGACCGTGCTTCTGCACGCAACCTTTGCTTTCTTTCATTAAGCTGCCTTCATATCAAGCCATGAGTTTTTCATCTTATTTTCTCCCCCTGTCCTGCTGAGGAGGGGGAGCAAGGGAACGGCTTGGTGGGCACCTGGCAGCCACCGTACCACATAAGGCCATTCTGAAATAGGAGTTTTACAGATCATTTTTTTCTGACCACGCTGTGAACATTCAGAGGCTGGGCTATGGGACACCACTGAAGTTGGTTACTACCTGTATGAAACCCAGTAGGTGTGACACTTCTGCTTCTCTGTGTCCCAGCAGAAGGTGCCAATAACACACAGCAAATATAGACAAGTCTGCTTATGGGTATATAGAGGATGAAGGAGAAAAGAAGGCAGCAGGGAGGCTGAACCCCTTCCATCTTGCTCCCTTGCTGTCCTTCTGCCACCTGCAGCACCAAAGGGCTGTGCAACAGAATCACGTAATGGCAGAGGTTAGAATTGCTCAACCCCAGCTCCCCCTTGGTCCAGAAAACAGCTGTATCCATCCTCTACTGAGCAAAGGCATGGAGCACTGCCCCTTGCTCTGATGCTCTGGGCTCTGACCCTACCTGATTTATCCCATGATATCCAGCACCACCTTGGATGATCCTGCTTCCTTTTAAATGGCTGCTATCGTAGTTCATAAAAAAAACCTGTCTGAATGGGGAAATCACTGTTGCAAAAAACCCCACACCACACAAAAACCCCCAAACTCATAATCCACCTCACCTAATCACAGCCACTACCTCCTCTGGCCTGTAAATGTAATCTCTGCTGAATTAAATGCCACCCCGCTTAACTGTCTGTGTTGGCCACATACTAAAAAAGTTATGTGCCGTGCTGTTATCTCTCACAGCTTGGTAACAGCAAAATTGTGCCTTCTCTGTTTATTGTTGGCAAAGGTTCCATAAAGTCCCATTATTTCTCCTCGAATCCACACATAAACACTGAAATGGGACAGGACTGAGAATGAAAGTCCTTTCCTGGTTAACACATTTCCCCTGAGCCCATCTGTCACCCTTGGAGCAGCATAAAAGCTCTGCTGCTAAGGAATAGCGTGAGGAGACTTGGGAGGAAGTACGCTCTTCTTTATTCCAGGAAAAGAGAGTATGATCCAGGAATTCTACCAGTTCTGTTTATTTTTAAACAGAATGATGCACATTGCCTTGTAAACATATCGTCTGATTTACAGAAAATTGTTTAAACAAAAGTAACAATTATCCTCTTGCCTCACTTCTGAGGACTTTTGCTTTCCTGATAGAGCCATTACTATTGTGAAAATGGTAATCACTGAAGTAGTTAGTTTTTAAAGAGTCCTAATTTCAAATTTGGGTTAAATTTGATTGGACTAGAATATTATGCATAGACATATGCTCTTTGTTAGTTTTTTGGTAGCTTCTCTACAACCCAACAATAAAAGCTGCAGCATCCTAAGACACCGCTTGAAGTGATGCCACAGAAATTGAAATGGATGTGAAAGATGAACTCTGATTTGGACACCTTCCAGATGAAAGCACTTGGCCCAAACTGCAGCCAGACAATGGCTGCTTAACGGATTGCTTTTAAAAAGCAAAATATATATCCATCTTTTTCTCATTCAACCAAAAAACCCATTCCTTATCTAAAAGGAGATTCCTTTGTCTAGGAGCAAAAAATCACATTTAGATGGTTCCACAGATTGGCAATGAAGAACATTAGGCCTCCTAGCAACATTCCTCAGCAGCCTTTGCATGCAGAGTTGGCTCTGTATTTCTACTCCCTCCTGTACGTGGCAGTCATATACTTCAGGATATGGCTGTGCATGGAGCCTGTGTCTGGCAGCCCTGAACAGTAGGTGGTCTGAATCGCTCATTACTCTCATGCCATCAGATTTGGGGCAGCAAGTTAAGCAGTGTGAACTGGGCTCGTGGGCATGCAATCAGAAGAGGAAAACATTATCCTTTGTCCTCAACTCTTGAACTGTTCTTGCATCATTTCCTTAATGCACAGAGAACCGAGACGCAAACCCTCACACGAGCCCTAGAAACTCGCCAGGGGCTGCTCTTCCCAGCTGTTGTCAAGCCAGACACCACGGGATGTTCTTCTGCTGTCTGAAAATACCCCCCTCTGATTTTTATGAAACATTTTGTTCTATCCGTTTAAGAAACTACTTTTGTATCTTTTATGCCAAGATCTTTGTTGAAATACTTTGTAATTATTTATATTGGGCCTTGGCTAAAGCAGGATTCTGGAGAGGATTTAGCCAGGCAGCAAAAAGCTTCTATTTAGAGATGGGGGTGGTGTTTCCCCTCATTAATCTGTTTCTGAGGTTAAAAATGTTTTCTGCAGCAAAATGCTTCTCACAGCAAGTTTGAATAGTTCTGTCCCTGAATGTTCCTTCACTGCCACCTTCTTTCTTTAACAAACGCTGAACTTCATGCGTCAAACTCCTGATTTATTTTTACAGCATTACAAATGCAATACATTTCATACAAAACATTCATAACATCAGTTTTAATATAGCACAACTGCTTTAAAAGTGTACTTCCCAAGAATTCATAAGAAGCTGCAGGTATATAAATGCCCTCTTCAGCATTCTCAGGTATTCATTGTCAAAATCACTCAAATGAGAGTCCTAGAAATGACACCAACTGTAATAGCGAGAAACTTTGCTACTGATTTTTGCGTATGAAGGATTTTTTCATTACACAGACCGCAAGCATGAACTTCTTTGTAGGCAGCTCGTATATATCAGCCCTCACAGATCCTCCCTGCTTTCTGTTTGAAAGGGTGTTTCTTCTTCCTCACACAGGCGGCCTTGTCTGTACTTTGCACTAATTCCATTGTAGTGGTGTACTACAAGCACTCAGGGCCAGCAGCAGGGAAGTGTTTCATACCCACCCACTCTGATACAGGAAGGCTTTTTTAAGCAAACAAAAATGTGTCTATGCAAGAAGTAGTAGTAGTACGCCTTTAAAGACATAAAGTTATACAGTTATGCAAGTGTAGACCCTTGCAGAACTCAGCAATTTATCAGCATGGCCTGCCAAAAAGGGCATCTCCAAATCCCCACCTTCATTTCGGGGGTGGTGTGACTTGTGCAACCCTGCTACGGCTTCGGCCTAACTTTGCGACCCCCAGCAGCCCCCCGCAGGGCCCCGGGCCGACACCCCTCCCCGCTGACTCGCCCGTACGGCCCCACTTGATTCAACGAGCCAGAAAAACAGCCCAGCTCCCGCGTACACCCGCAGCGGGCAGAGGGCGGCAGGCCAGGCCGGTTTCCCTGAGGGAGCCCTCCTTCCCCACACGCCCCGTTCCGCCCCGGCGGTGGCCGCGACGTCACTTCCGCCGGAGGTCGCGCCGCCGAGTGCTTCCGCCTGCGCGTTTCCAGGGTAACGCGGCGCCCCGGCCCGGTGAGTCCTGGTGGGTCCCGGCCAGTGGCCGCCGCCCGGGGGATGGCGGGTGTCCATGGGGGCATCGCCGCCTCTCATTACCAACCGGGTGTCCCCAGGGAGCGGCTGCGGCGCCCGGGGGCGGCCACTCCTCGTCCCCCGCCTGCCGGGGGCTGCCCCGTTGTGGGGGGAGCGGAGAACGTGTCCCAGCCCGTCCCGGTAATTCCATCTGGCTCCTTGGGGGCTCGTGCTGACCGGGGAGGCATGGGTGGGCCTGCTTGTCCGGGAGGGGCCTGCAGCCCCGGAGGGACGGGAGGGGTCTGCGGGGCTCTCGGGCACGGCCTGTGGCCGGACCTGTGCCCTGGCCGCCCGGGCGGGAGGCGGGTAGGGGGTGCCTCAGGGATGGCCGGTCGCTGTGGCGGAGAGAGGGGAGTCGGAGAAATGCCGGTCCCGGAGCCCGGAGGGAGGGCTGCCTTGCCACAGGTCAGAGCAGGGTCTTCCCGGTGACTCCTGTGTGTGAGGAGCACCCCCGGTTCCGCTGCCCAGCAGGGCTGAACAGGTTAGGGCAGCGGTACCCAAACCAAAGAGCACAGCACTGAGCCCTCTTTTATCAGGTGCACAGTTGTCTGGGATAGGACCACCTATGGGGAAAAGGAATAGTACAGCCACCATACAGAAGTTTGTTTGTTATAATAAAGTCAAACACCTACTTAATCGTCCAGCCTTAACTTCTTTATGCAGCTTGACTCAGTGGGACTGATAAACGTCAAGAGATGTCAACTCCCCCTCTCGCTGGGGCAGGCATGCCACCCGGTGCCTTCTCAGGGACGCAGGCTCAGGCAGCTAGGGAGGTAAATACGGCTTCTCTCTGTCGAATTGGCCAAGAGACTGTACAGGACATTGTATTTCGAACCATGGAAATCTTCCAGCTACTGAGGAACATGCAGGTGAGAAATAACATTTTCTTTTTATGGTCCTCAATTTCCCATGTTTTTACCACCAACTGCCAGTATATTTAGACACAGGAGATAGATTAGGATAAATACGTAACTTGATCAAACTGCTTTGAAAGGGAGGATTGGTTGCAGAAGTCGATACTATTCTTGCTATATTTGCTTACATCTGTACATTAAATGAAGATGGAGAAGATTCAGAAATTCTGACTTATTATTTCCCCTGCAATAAATATACTCTAAATACACTTAATATCTATGTTTTCCTTTATGAATAGTGAAGTGTGTTTATATGTGGATTGTGTTTCTCCAGTTTTGTTAATATCTGTGGAGTAATTTTAGAGGATTTTTCATTGATCTTTTTTCTGTAATATTTTCCACCTATAACTTTTTGACATTTCTTTTTGTTATTAAAGTCAACATAATCCTTATTTGTGGCTACATACTGAGAAAACATATAAACATTTGTATGTTTGTAACTTCTCTATTAAGAGCAGAAGTAATCACTGTAGAAGTGATTAAGAGCAGAAGTAATCACCATTCCCTCTGTATTTTCATGGCTGGCAGTTTTCTTCTGTAATTATCTTAAGTCTAGAAATACATACGTAGAGTTTGCTAACTTTGAATTCACTTTGATTGTGTCTCTGAATTGTGACCTGGAGTTGCGACACAAGGTCTCAAATGGCTATAACTGATAACAAAAGTGTTGTCCTTAAGCGCTTGAAGACATTCACTGAAAAGAGTTACAGAGGAATTGACAATGAGCAAAGTATGAAGAATACATGAAGCTCTTTGAAAGCAGTGATTTGGCACATGGCATAAGCAGATAAAATGCAGATTTTTGCTGAGAAAGCAAATAGAAATTTCAGTGATTTCTGTGGGGCTAGTGTGATTGTCTTATTTTAACTGTACAAAAAAACCCCTCTGATTTATTTTAGTTTAGTTATTTTGTGTCACAAAAACTTTAACATAATATTTTTAACATTTTGGGGTTTTGGTTCTCTTAAGTTACCGAACGGCGTTACTTATCATACTGGAACGTATCAAGACAGACTGGGAAAGCTGCAGGAACATCTCCGACAGCTATCAATACTCTTCAGAAAACTGAGACTAGTCTATGACAAATGCAATGAAAACTGTGCTGGGCTTGATCCTGTTCCCATAGAAGTAAGTATCTTTATTCATATATAAATTAAAAATCAGAATAACCACTCTCTGCTTAGCATATCATCCATTCTCCTGAGTTGTAGGAGACTCATAACAAGTCTTAAATGAGACTGGAATTGTTCAGTGGACTGAATTTTGTTTATTATTTGGAGTTGGTTGAGAGATTGTGAAAATTTCACATTAACATAGAATCATTGAATCATAGAATTGTCTCGGTTGGAAGGGACCTTTAAGATCATGGAGTTCAACCATTAACCTAACACTGACAAAACCACCACTAAACTATGTGCCTCAGCACCACGTCTACCTGTCTTTTAAATACCTCTGGGGATGGTGATTCCACCACTTTCCTGGGCAGCCTGTTCCAATGTTTGGTATTGTTGGTAGCGTTTGGTAATGTAACTTCCTCCCGAGAAGAAATAACTTCCCAATTAAAAAAAACAACAATCAACAACTCTTTTCATTGTTTGTTGTCTTGTGTGCAATAGCTCTATACTTGTGTCCCCTTTAAAAGTTTTTGATGTGTCTTGTTTTCACATACAGTCAGAATGAGGTGAGGTTGGTCTTTCTTTTTTTTTGTTTTTCCTTTTCAGTTTTTCCTGTTACCAAGGTGAGAAAGAATCTCCATAGAGAAAACGAGTAGTCCCTTTAAGCTTTTTAATGCAAGGTCTAACCGATACCTTATGCACAGCAGGGTTTCCTGTCGATATTTGGAATTCTTTCTTCCTTTATCTACTTAGTCTTTTCTGTTCTGAAGTTAATAGAATGCCTGCCTCCTTGTGTTTTATTAGTTAGGGTGAATGAGTGACACATAATTCCTCTTGGATCAGTTTTCTTAAATTATTATTTTAGCTTTTCAATAATTCAATCATATTATTTAATGATTGTCATTCTAAAAATATCTTTAAAGAATGTCAAGAAATCTATTTTTTTAAACAGTCAAGAGAAGTCAGTAATGATTAATATTCCTTAGTCTATTGACGTACATTTTTTTTTTTTGTTCATGGGTACTACCAGTGTAGTAGGTGTTCTCAACAACTGTCATGCCTTTCTATGTTGGTTAATAGAGATAATTATTGAAGCAGATCTGTCTACAAAGTTGTCTAATTGATTAAATTTCCTGCTTCGTTTGTGTGATAGGTGTAGTACTTTGCTTTTCCTTGTGTTTTTTTTTCTACTAGTACTTCCGAAAGGTGGGAGGTTTTCAAAGGCAATATTCTGCTTTGAGTCGTATGGTTTTTTTCCATCAGAGAGAGAAGGTGGTTTTTTCCAGGAGTATTTAGCAGTCATACTACTACATCATGGCATGCAAATGTAGTAAGTTGTTAATCTTGGCTACGTTTTCATGGCAGAGTTAGTATGGTAGGTTTTGTCCATTTTGATAAGCTTAATAAGCCTGGCCTACAAAAATTTGTATATAGAAGGAAAGTACATTTTTAGTGGGTTAAGTCCAAGAAAGTTTTCCATCAGAACGCTGAAGGATGCTGCTGAATGCTTTGTATCAGAAATAGTGTGGCCAGCAGGACTAGGGATGTGATCATCCCCTGTACTCGGCACTGCTGAGGCCTCACCTTGAATACTGTGTCAGTTTTGGCCCCTCACTACAGGAAAAACATTGAGGAGCTGGAGCGAGCCTAGAGAAGGGCAATGAAGCTGATGAAGGTTGTAGAGCACAAATGTTATGAGGAGCAGCTGGGGGAGCTGGGGTCGTTCAGCCTGGAGAAAAGGAGGCTGAGGGGAAACCTTATTGCTCTCTACAACTACCTGAAAGGAGGCTGTAGGGAGGTGGGGGTTGGTCTCCCAAAGTAACAAGTGATAGGACAAGAGGAAATGGCCTCAAGAGGCACGAGGGGAGATTTACATTGGATATAAGGAAAAATTTCTACACTGAAAGGTAATCAAGCATTGAGCAGGCTGCCCAGCAAACTGGTGGAGTCACCATCCCTGGAGGTATTTAAGACAGGTAGTCGTGGCACTTGGTGTCATGGTTTAGCGGTGGATTTGGCAGTGCTAGGTTAACAGTTGAACTCAATGATCTTAAAGGTCTTTTCCAATGTAAATGATTCGATGTTTCTATGATAATATTATACCCCAATCTAAGTAACAAGTGAGTATGCATGCGATGAGCAGCTTGCTCCCAGACTTTTAAACTAATGTCATCTTGCTCATTTGCATCAATTACTAGTCTTTCATTTGTCTGTAATATGTATGTGAACAAGGATGTAATTTTGCTATCAACTTTAGCTTTTCTCAGTTCAGGGTAGAAAAATCAACAATAGACTGTAGACTTTGTGGATATATGTTATGTATAAAATGTTACAACTTATAATTATTTCTGAGTAAGATGTTAGTAGCTTGGGAGTGTTCTGACACAGAAGCATGTATTTGTTTTGTATCTAGCAGATTTACTCATTTCTTTTAATATTTTTTTTTTTAGGAAGGGAACATGCATTAATATTCATTTAAAATTCTTTATCAAAGCTTTTTGGCTTGGTGGAAGCTTACTGAAAAGATAATAAACTATATGCCTGAGGAAATCACAGTGGGAAATTCTTACGGAAAAACTCCTATTAGGTAGCTGTGGACCTGGTGTTAAGAATTACCAGAGGCACACTAAAATAGCAAGCCATAATTTACCAAGTAGCTGTGTAAAACTAGTCATAGTTATGTTTAGTATATCGCTGAAATACTTTATAATAATAGCTTCATGTTTGTGGTATTTCATAGTGTGGAACAGTAAATTTTAAAATCGCAATTGACAGAGTTCAAGAATACAAGGATTGCTTGTGATAAACATCTTAAATTGTAAAGACTGGTTTCTGCCTACAGTTGTGAAATTGCTTATGTCTAGGCATGGTAATATGTGGGACTGGGTATTTTTGAAGCACATCATTTTCCTGGAGAACTGACTGAGGTCACTGCAAGGCCTTTGTGTTTGAGGTCACGAAGTAAGCCAGTATCCACTTCCTCTTTGGAAGTTTGACCCTTTGAAGCAAATGGTAGTACCTTATGCATCTCCGTATCTCCTGTTTTCAGTTTCTTTTTTTCTTCTTTTTTCTTTTTTTTTGTCTAATGTTACTTGTTATTGTAGCAACTTATTCCGTATGTTGAAGAAGATGGCTCCAAGCACGATGATCGTGGTGCTGCAAGTCAGCTTCGTTTTGCTAGTGAAGAGAGAAGGGAAATCATGGAAGTTAATAAGGTAAAAAAGTTGAAATTAATTAGTTTAAAATTGTCACTTTGTCATAAAAAAATAAATTTCTAGGTTGCTGTACTAAATGCAGCGCGTGTGATGACTACCATCAGACTTGGTAATAAATACTTCTTGCACGTAACTATTTCAGAATTACCTTTTAGTAAGCTATTTTTTTTTTAGCTGTACCTCTGGCTGTTGAGTTTAGGTTTCCTGACGATTTTAAATTGTGCCTCTTTTTAAACTGATACACTGTATTCAGAATAATATGTATCATGTTTATGCTTAACCCACTACATATCAGCAGTATACATTGAGTTAAGGTGCCAGTTCCACTTATTTCTCTTCAAAACTCTTAGGCATTAAAAAAATGGGTATTGAACATCAGATGTGTAAATATTATCACAATGATGTGGGCTGATGAAGGATTTTCAGGGCTACTTTCTGTATTTTGACAGTTTGAGGAAGAACATTCCTTTTGTTAAATGTAGCATTTATTGAATCTTGACACATTCAGAAAAAAATGCACTATGTATGATAAAGACGCTGTTAAATTTTCAGTTTGAGTGGCAGTATGCAATTGAGTACAATTACTAAAGAAGGATTCAAACCTAAAAATAAATATGCTGTAGTAAATGCTAATATAATATTGAGACTAAGAATACATAGTTTTATCATAAGGCAATTTTGAACATTGTTTCTTCAATCCGTAAAGTACAAAGATAGAATTAATTAAATATTCCTGTAACTGTAATATCTGTAAATACTTGGTAAAAAAGAGGCATAATCTACAAAAATAACTGAACAAAGGAAATAAATGAGTAAAATACTTCTTTATGGAGAGAATAACTGGTGGATTTTCAGCTGTTAAAATATGGAGGTTTTTATTTGTCTTCAACAATCAGAGATGTACCAAATTTTTCATAACCCATTTATTTAGAAAAATGCATGCATACTGTACAGGAGAAAATGAGGACTATATGAATTTAGAGAAAAGCAGTTGTCAGCTTTCCTGTTGTATTCTTTCTGTTCAGTGCTGATATAGCAGGGTTGTATATATTGTATGCAATGTTGTACTGTGAATTTATGCACATTTATTTGCAATCTTTAAGTGTTAATAAGCTTAACTGTCCATATTTGCTGTGGTTTTGATAGATTTATGACATGTTTTTGCCCTTGTTATTGTACTTCTATGCTAATATGTTTTTAAAACTCCTTGGTGTGATCTTGTGAAAAGAATTTCATAAACGTTTATGATGAGTTCTAAACCTTAAAAAGGTTGATGGTGTTTCAGGACCATTGGTAGCAAATTGGTAATTAGGAATGTACACAGACATTCGTTTAAATCTGGTTTAATCCTGTATTTACACTTAAATGCTTAGACCTAGTTTCCAGATTTCCCACAGCAAATCTTCCAAAGAGAATTGAACTTTCTCTAATATTTTTGTGGACAAATATTTACTAACTGCTGCAAAAGAAATTTAATCTTGTTGGTTTTGAAACAAGTGATTTTTTTCTTTTGTCTCTCTTCAGCTGTCTAAGCACATCCACTAACACTTTCAAAGTTCAAATTTTAGTATGTTATAGAATAGGAAATGCTTTGGGGTTTTATGACTAGAAATAAAGAAATTCTTATTTTTGCGGGAAAAAAAAATCACTAGAATCGGGTTAATTGGTCTAATTTCTGACACTGGATGCTGGGTTCAGATTGACTTCTCTGATTCTTAGTTGGCATTCCTGAGATCTTTTCAGTCTGCTGTAGCATGTAACATCCTCCTCCAGCTCAATTTTGCTTAATTTATTCTTGCAAAATTTTAGTAATGCAAAATGTTAATGAAAATGCTGTGACAGGGAAACCAACATGACAGATGAAGCAGTTCTTTATATTCTTGACCCACTATCTTTTCTCCCTTCAGCTGGTTTTCCTGCTCTCACCTAGTCCTTTTTGCTGGGATAGGCAGTATCTTTTCAGTCTTATATGTTTCTGGTACCAAACCAAGCATTATTGCAATAACCCAATACTTTGACATTATTGAGACGTTTGAATTCTTAGACCTTTCATGGGTCTTTTAATTTTGTCCTTCTTGCTGTGTTATTGCAGCCAGTCTGATCTCTTTAGTGGCTCTGGATGCACGTGAAAGATGTTAGCTGCCATGCAGCACGGAGCATAACCAAAACTAGCAGATCATATAAACCTTGTGGGTCATATATTCTCACACAAGAATATCCCTCCTTCCAGGAACCACTGACTTGAAACATAATGGCTCTGCTTTGCTTTAGAAGGGGACATCCTCAGTGGAGGAGGTGGGGAGCATCATGTGCTTCCAGTATTTACCTTCTTACTCTTGAGACAGAAGAACCGGCTGTTGTAGCAGATTTCCAAAAAACTGCAGTAGCTTTAGATGTTGGTTTACTGTATAGTGACATCTTTTGGCATTACTTATTTATTTATTCTGCTATATTAGACTTATATTTTAGGTCAGATGCCCCCACCCTGGCTAAGAAATACTTGTCCATTAATTTAAAATTTAGGTCAGTTTACAAGATAATGAATTTCTGTCATAGCAATTCAGTCCTAGCAATTCAGTAGTATTTAGCAACTATATGCTTAAATAAAATCTATTGAGCTTAAAAACAAAAGGGATTTTTGCCAGCAGTTTTCAAGAAGGGTTCACCATTATTATCAAAAACAAAGAAACAAACATTTTAATGAGCACTGACTCTCTCTACCTTTTGTACTAAACAATTCTCTCCTGCAGTTCTCAAAAATGTTGCTTATCCTTTTATCTGTATTTGCTTTCCAGGTTTGTAAGTTTCTGAGGTGATTGACTCTTTTCTGGAATAAATAATTCACTGTTCCAGAATCAGTTTAGTATTAACATTGGTCTACTAATACAAGTCCTGATACATTTTTCATTTAACTTAATTACTATTTGCAACAATTGGAAGCTGTTACCAAAATTTTCTTACTTGCCTTCATATTTTTTGAGTCTGTAATGTTCTGTCTACAGGTTTCTTACCTTCTAAGTATAGTATTATCTGCAGTTTTTTCAAATACCACTCTCACCTTGGGTCCATGGTCTTGTAGACAGGCTTAAAACAAAAAATATCAAATCGCAGACTGAGAACATTTTAATCTGTGTTGCTGCTTTATTGACTTGGTTTTGGAAATGGAGCAAAAGCAGCTTTGGGTTTTTGGATGCTGCAGGTCTGGTTTCAAATGAACCGCTTAAGAAAACTGATGCATAATTAGTTGTCTCAATACATGTGGGTGAGAATGAAATTATGTGAAATAGCATTAGGACATTTCAGGTGACCTTTAGAAAATAATTATTTTTGATACTCTTAATTAATCATTGCTAACTGGTTAACAGTGATCTTGCTAAGAAAGGAAAAGAAAATCTACATGACAGGCTTTTAAGTTAAGCTGTTACGAGTTTAGCTCTGGGCTTTTTTGATAAGAAAACCTTTGTGCACTGCAGCTGATGTTGTTTAGGAAGTAGTCCTTAAAATGACAGCGATTTGCAATTAGTCTTCCTCTTTGGAGAACTTTGCCAGAAAACTTCTTTTGACTATGTTGAAAACTTGCATTGCTTTTAAACTACCTTTCATGCTATTTGCGTGTATTTTTAATTCGTTTTGTATTTGTAGTCCTTTTTCACCCCAAATACGAATGTGCACCAAGGAGCACTTTAACAAGAGAGGAAGAATTGTTTATTTGGACACCTTCTCAGCAAATGTATCTGCGCTGGGTGCAGTTCCATCCTGTTTTGGGTACCTAAACTGGCGCTCTGCAGTGGTAGAATCATTCAGGAATTTAGGCTCAGTGGGAGGTCTGGCAATTATCTGATTCAGTCCCCAGCTCAAAGCAGGGCCAGCTATCAAAGTTAGATTCAGTTGTTCAGGCTCATATCCAGTAGCATTTTGAATATCTGTAAGAATGGAAATTCTACCCTTTCTGGGCCTTCTTAAGTGTTTGTCAACTTTCAGTACAAAAGTTTTCCTGATGTTACATTGGAATTTTCTTTGTAACTCGTTCCTACTGCCCCTCATCCTTTTGCTGTGTACATTCAAGAAGATTCTAGCTTTGTCTTTTCTATGATCTTCATCAGGTAGCTAAAGACAGCATCCAATCCTGCCTCAGCCTTCTCTGCTTGAGACTAACAAATCTAGTTCTAATCATCTTGGTGGCCTTCCACTGGATGTTCTCTGATATGTTAGTGTTTTGTATTGAGCCTAAAATTGGACAATGGTTCTCCAGAGCCAAACAGAGGAGAATAACAATTTTGCTGGACCCGATAGGTACATTCTTGCTAATGTAGCAATTTGGTATTGTCCACAATCTTGATACTTTGATACAGTGATTAGGTCATTAAGTGTGGATAAGTCATTAATGACGATATTAAGAATGCTGACCTTGGTGTCAATCCTTGGTCTTAGGACTGCTTACCGTAACATTTAGAATCCAATAGTCTAGCCAGTTTTCTATCAGCCCTACAATCCACCTATCCAAACCACACCTCTCCAGTTGGCTACAAGGATCCTATGAGAGACTGTGTCAAAAGCCTGACTAATATGAAAGTAAAGAAAATCCCCAGCTCTCCCCTTGGCCACACAGCCAGTCATTTCTGAATAGAAGGCTGTCATGTTGGTCAGGCACAAGACATCTTTGGTAAATCCAAGATGACTGTTCCCAGTCACCTTATCGTTCATGTGTCTGGACATGACTTCCAGAAGGATCTGCTGCATGGTCTTCCTGGGGTCTGGGTTTACACTGACCAGCCTGTAGTTTCTGTAGTTTTCTGGATCCCTCCTCCTAGTCTTTCTTGAAGATGAGTTGAGAAGTTTTTCCTTTTTCATCAGGAGTTTCTCCCCATCTCCAAGAGAAAATTATGTAGAGTAGTCTTGTCATCAGCCAGGTCTCTCAGATCCATTTTATTCCATATAATGAAATACTTCCTTTTCAGTTTCATACAAAATGTTTCATGCAAAATTTTTCATGTAACTAT